TACCGACCAAAGCTTTTGAAGATTTCTAAAAACGTTTTACCACTTTACACTGGTACTTCATTTGGCATGACTTTCGATTCGTTCATTCTAAAGGGATCTGTACTCTCTACCAAACTCAATTCAAAGGTGTCCTACTCAATTAGTAATCCATCTGAAAGCACATTATGCAAGAACTACCAAGTTTGTATGACCTCCTCAGATTTGAAAGATGCCACCACAATTTCCAAAAAGAAGCCAATCACTTTTTACTTGGGATTGGATGGCTTGGATACTACTATCTCTGTGGATATGACACTTTACGACAATTCTGTAAAGAAGATTGAAAAGCTTTCCGAGACAAAACTTGGTATTTATGGTGTATTCTTTGATAATTATCAAGTCAAGGTTAAATATGAATATTTTGTGAATGATATACTTGTTACAAAGATTGTTGATGCTACATATGTTTCTGAAGATTACGTTACAGCTGACATGGTTTTGAATGACTTGACCAATATTGGATTTATTTCAGTCCAAGTCTCATCAGATAATGGAGAAGTTTATTCCCCAAAAACTCTTAATGCATATGTTATGTTTACTCCTGCTGAGTTTGGCACTAACACTCAAAATAGCACAACCACTACAACTGCATCAACTACAGTTATTCAAGAAGAAGAAAAGAGTATGAGTGGTGTACTGACATTCTTGTCCAGTGCTTTAAGTGAGACTGCTTCTCCAACAGAAGAAACTGTCGATCCAAAGACCGGTAGTGTTGTTACTCCTGACGTCAAGCCAGTATTCATTCCAATGATTTCTAAGAAGACTGGTGAGATTACAATTAAGGTTAGTGTCGGCTTTGTTAACAATGGTACCAAAGACAAGTGTACCACCAACCCTAACCAAGTTGTGAAGAGTGTAATTCCAACCTCTAGAAAGTTTACATTGTTGGAAAAGAGAGTGTCTATAGAATTTGCTGTAGCCAAGCCAGACACTGAAGAAGCAACACTTATGGAAATGTTAATTAATGATCAAACAAATGCTGGTTACTTCTCTAGTAGTATCAGTATTAGAAATGGTGAAAAGTTCTTTAATTCTGAAGTTAACTTGGGTACATCATTTGAAACCAAAAATATATCTACTCGTTGTGACTTTAAAGAAGGTGAAAATATGAAGTTAGATATGAAGGTTACACACAGTTTCTCTCAATTAGATTATTCTGAATGGTCCTCTCAAGATTATAAGGATTGGAAGCCACTCTCTCTTACACAATCAAGGACAGCAATGGAGATGCCATTTG